TCTGTTGGCCTTGCAGGAGTAAAATATTAAAATAAAAATTAAACAATTGTATTAAAAAGTGCTGACTGGGGTCGCTTACGCCTGTAATTCCGGCACTGTTGGGAGGCCGAGGCGGGCAGAATCACTTGAGGATCAGGAGGCGTTCCGAGACCAGCGCTGCCCACATGGTGGAAATCCCATCTCTACTAAAAATAACAAAAATTTAGCCGGGCATGGTGGCGTGTGCCTGTAATCCCAGCTACTTGGAAGGCTGAGGCAGGAGAATCATTTGAACCCAGGAGGCAAAGGTTGCAGTGAGCCAAGATCGTGCCACTGCACTTTAGCCTGGGCGACAGAGTGAGACTCCATTTCAGGGAGAAAAAAAAAGAAAAAAAGAAAAAGTTATCACAATAATTCACTGTTGGACACTCAAGAACTGGTATTTCCCATGAATTTGTATGGTATAGTACAAGTAACAGGGATAATAGCAGTTGGTTAAAAGAATTAACTGAGACTGATACATGAGCTACAAGACTGCATTAAAGTTTTTCTTTTGTTCTACTCTAAAAATTCAGCAACCAGGCCCAGTGCCTGTTACAGAGTGAGTCCTCAAGATATGTGTTGACTGAAGCTAGCAAAGTGATTTATTGATTTATTTATTTATTGAGACGGAGTTTCACTCTCGTCACCCAGGCTAGAGTGCAGTGGTGCAACCTCAGTTCACTGCAACCTCTGCCACCTGGTTTCAAGCAATTCTGCTGCCTTATTCTCCAGAGCACCTGGGTCTTCACCACCACACCTGGCTAATTTTTTGTATTTTTAATAGAGATGGAGTTTCACCATATTGGCCAGGCTGGTTTCGAACTCCTGACATCTGCCTCGGCCTCCCAAAGTGCTGAGATTACAGGCGTGAGTCACCGCCCCCAGCCTAACAAAGTGATTTTATTTTTAAGAGGAGGGGCAGGCAGGGCGCAGTGGCTTACGCCTCTAATCCTGGCAGTTTGAGAGGCCAAGGTGGGCAGATCACAAGGTCAGGAGTTCAAGACCAGCCTGGCCAATATGGTGAAACCCTGTCCCTACTAAAAGGACAAAAAAAATTAGCCGGGCATGGTGGCAGGCGCCTGTAATCCCAGCCACTCAGGAGGCTGAGGCAGGAGAATCACTTGAAACTGGGAGGCGGAGGTTGCAGTGAGCTGAGATTGCGCCACTGCACTCCGCTCTGGGCGACAGAGCAAGATTCTGTCTCAAAAAAAAAAATACAACAACAACCAAAAAAAAAAAAAAAAAAGGGAGGGGCGATGTTTTATTAAACATTTCGCTATTTGAAGAATTAATACATTCATGCAAAGAAAAGATGAAGCAAACATGCCCTACAGTGTTATCATTTGAGATCTCTTAAAAGCGGCTATGTGGCCGGGTGCAGTGGCTCATGCCTGTAATCACGGCACTTTGGGAGGCTGAGGCAGGTGGATCACTGGAGATCAGCAGTTCGAAACCAGCCTGGAAAACAGGGTGAAACCCCCCTCTCTACTAAAAATACAAAAATTACCAGGGCGTGGTGTCACATGCCTGTACAAATCCCAGCTACTGGGGAGGCTGAGGCAGGAGAATTGCCTAAACCCGGGAGACAGAGGTTGCAGTGAGCCAAGATCACATCATTGCACTCCAGCCCGGGAGAAGAATCGAGACTCCATCTCAAAAAAAAAAAAAAAAAAAAGACAGCAGCTATGCAACACTCTACTCTGTCCCATGAATATCTGCCACATATTTGAAATTCCCAGTTGTCAGGCCTCTGAACCCAAGCTAAGCCATCATATCTCCAGTGACCTGCACGTATACATCCAGATGGCCCCATGCAACTGAAGATCCACAAAAGAAGTGAAAATAGCCTTAACTGATGACATTCCACCATTGTGATTTGTTTCTGCCCCACTCTAACTGATCAATGTACTTTGCAATCTCCCCTACCCGTAAGGAGGTTCTTTATAATCTCCCCCATGCTTAAGAAGATTCTTTGTAATTCTCCCTACCCTTGAGAATGTACTTTGTGAGATCCACCCCTGCCCCTGAAACATTGCTCTTAACTCCACCACCTATCCCAAAACCTATAAGAACTCATGATAATCCCATCACTCTTGCTGACTCTGTTTTCAGACTCAGCCCGCCTGCATCTAGGTGAAATAAACAGCCTTGTTACTCACATAAAGCCTGTTTGGTGGTCTCTTCACACGGACACATGAGACATTTGGTGCTGAAGAGCGAGGTCAGTGGGACTCCTTTGGGAGACCAGTCCCTTGTCCTCACCCTCACTCCATGAAGAGATCCACCTACGACCTCGGGTCCTCAGTCCAAGCCCCCCAGGGAACATCTCACCAATTTTAAATCTTTTTTTACTCTCTTCTCCAACCTCTCTCACTATTCCTCAACCTCTTTCTCCTTTCAATCTTGGCGCCACCCTTCAATCTCTCCCTTCTCTTAATTTCAATTCCTTTCATTTTCTGGTAGAGACAAAGGAGACACATTTTATCCGTGGACCCAAAACTCCGGTGCCAGTCACGGATTCGGGAAGGCAGCCTTCCCTTGGTGTTTAATCATTGCAGGGTCGCCTCTCTGATTACTCACCCACGTTCCGTTGGTGTCTGATCTCCATGGGGACGCCTGCCTAGGTCACTCACCCACATTACCTTGGTGGCAAGTCAATTGCGGGGATGCCTGCTTTGGCTGCTCACCCACGTTGCAGCCCAGGGCTGCTCCCCATCCCCCTCCTCCATGTCATTACCCTTCTCTTTAAACTTGCCTCCTTCACTATGGGCAACCTTCCACCCTCCATTCCTCCTTCTTCTCCCTTAGCCTGTGTTCTCAAGAACTTAAAACCTCTTCAATTCTCACCTGACCTAAAATCTAAGTGTCTTATTTTCTTCTGCAATACCGCTTGGCCCCAATACAAACTCGACAGTAGTTCCGAGTGGCCAGAGAATGGCACTTTCGATTTGTCTATCCTACAAGATCTAGACAATTTTTGTCGGAAAATGGGCAAATGGTCTGAGGTGTCTGACGTCCAGGCATTCTTTTACACATTGGTCCCTCCCTAGTCTCTGCTCCCAATAAGACTTGTTCCAAATCTTTCTTCTTTCCCTCCCGCCTGTCCCTTCAGTCCCAACCCCAAACGTCTCTGAGTCTTTTGAATCTTCCTTTTCTACAGACCCATCTGACCTCTCCCCTCCTCCCCAGGCTGCTCCTCGCCAGGCCGAGCAAGGTCCCAATTTTTCCTCAGCCTCTGCTCCCCCAATCTATAATCCTTCTATCACCTCCCCTCCTCACACCTGGTCTGGCTTAGTTTCATTCTGCGACTAGCCCTCCCCCACCTGCCCAACAATTTCCTCTTAGAGAGGTGGCTGGAGCTGAAGGCATAGTCAGGGTGTATGTGCCTTTTTCTCTATCAGACCTTTCCCATGTTAGCCAGCGTTTAGGCTCTTTCTCATCAGACCCCACTAAATATATACAGGAATTCCAATACCTAACTCTGCCCTACAATTTAACCTGGAGTGACTTAAATGTCATCCTAACTTCTACCCTCTCCCCAGATGAACAGGAAAGAGTTTTTTCTCTAGCCCAGTCTCACACTGATAACCACCAGTTTCGTGAGCCAGACCCCAGAGGAAGGCCATCTTATTCTCAATATGCATTTCATTAGCCAATCTGCTCCAGACATTAGAAAAAGTTCCAAAAATTAAATTCCGGCCCTCAAACCCCACAACAGGACTTAATTAACCTCGCCTTCCAGGTGTACAATAATAGAGAAGAGTTGCAATTACTTCCTCTGCTGTGAGAGAAACCCCAGCCATATCTCCAACACACAAAAACTTCAAAATGCCTAAGCCACAGTGGTCAGGTGTTCCTTCAGGACTTCCTCCCCCAGGATCTTGCTTCAAGTGCCGGAAATCTGGTCACTAGGCCAAGGAATGCCCACAGCCCGGGATTCCTCCTGAGCCGTGTCCCATGTGTGTGGGACCCCACTGGAAATTGGACTGTCCAATTGGCCTGAGGCTCTGACTGACTCCTTCCCAAATCTTCTCGACTTAGCGGCTGAAGACTGACACTGCCCGATCACCTCGGAAGCCCCCTTGACATTCACAGACACCGAGCTTCGGGTAACTCTTACAGCGGAGGGTAAGTCCGACCCCTTCTTAATCAATACGGAGGCTACTCCACATTACCTTCTTTTCAAGGGCCTGCTTCCCTTACCTCTATAACTATTGTGGATGATGATGGCCAGGCTGCTAAACCTCTTAAAACTCCCCAACTCTGGTGCCAACTTAGACAACACTCTCTTAAGCACTCCTTTTTAGTTATCTCCACCTGCCCAGCTCTCTTATTAGGTCAAGACATTTTATCTAAATTATCTGCTTCCCTGACTATTCCTGGGCTACAGCCACACCTCATTGCCACCTTGTCCCCCAGTTCAAAGCCTCATTCACAATCCTCTTCTTGTATCTCCCCACCTTAATTCACAAGTATAGGATACCTCCACTTCCTCCTTGGTGACAAATGATTCACCCCTTACCATCCCATTAAAACCTAATCACATTACCCTGCTCAATGCCAATATCCCATCCCAAAGCATGCTTTAAAAGGATTAAAGCCTGTTATCACTTGCCTGTTACAGCATGGCCTTTTAAAGCCTATACACTCTCCTTACAATTCCCCAATTTTACCTGTCCAAAAACCGGACAAGCCTTACAGGTTAGTTCAGGATCTTCACCTTATCAACCAAATTGTTTTGCCTATCCACCCTGTGGTGCCAAAGCCATATACTCTGCTATCCTCAATACCTCCCTCCACAACCCCTCCACAACCCATTATTTTGTTCCGGATCTCAAACATGCTTTCTGATTTGTTTTATGCGACCACCAGAGCAGGCGCCAGAGAAAAGGCAAGTAGGCAAGGTAAAAAGAAACTTTATTAGCTAGCCAATGTGAAGGAAGAAAGGGCGAGGTTCACCGGTCTCCGGCGGTGGAGGCCGAGGAAGTCGCTCCGGCGTTCTCGGGCGAGGTTCCTAGGTCCGCATATGAGGAGGGGCTGAGGAAGTTCATGCCGCGCGCCTGCCGGGAGCGGCTTTTCTGTCTAAGGCTTGGGAGTGGGAGGGCAATAGGTGGGACACGGGCGTGTCGGGGGCGTTCCATAGGTGTGGCCAGGTAAGTTTTGGTTTCCTCAATCGGACGCCATGTTGCACCTGCGCAGTTGGTCTGTATTTTTCCCGGGCGTGGGCTGCATTTTCCTGCGCGGGTAAGTTGGTGATGAAGAACCCGGAAATGTGCCATCTTAGTCGTCTTTGTCCTCTCCTCCCATCCAGACAGTCCAAACTTTTATTGATTATAGTGATTGGGGGCATCATTGTCTGTCTGGCTGCTTCCTGCTGTTAAGGGGCGTAGTTAGGGTCTGTGGTTGGTATCTGGACGTAGGGATGTAGGAGCATCTGGTTGAAGGTGATGCGGGTGATTTCTTGGACCCTGGCTTGGAGAAATTTTATTAAAATGGGAGCAAAACATAAGGCAAGGCAGAGGATTAGTATGGGAATTAGGAATGGGAGCATCTGCTGTACTACGGGCAGCAGCCATACCAGTGGTCCGGGGGTGAAGGGGGCGTTAAATTGTTGAAGCTCTTTTTTGATCTTGTTAAATGTTTGGACATTGGTGTCAACCAGGCCTGATTCATTTACGTAGTAGCAACACTCCTCTCCTAGGAAGAGGCATGTCCCTCCTTTTTCAGCAGTAAGAAGATCTAATGCCTGTCTATTTTGTGCTGCTACCTGGGCCACTGAGGTGATTTGACGTTGTAAAGAGGATAAGCTCTCAGCTGAAGCCTCTATGGCTGCCTGGACCTGAGTGGAGAGGGTCTGTGTGGATTGAATCGAGTGGGTGAGGGCCCCTGTTCCAAGTCCTGAGGCTACTAGGGACGATGCTAGGGAAACCCCAATAATTAAGGGAAGAAAAACGGCCCGCTTTTGGATGTTATTGCTGGGGCTGAGCTGGGAAGCTAGTTCGGACAATTTTTCTTCGCTATATAGGGTTAAGCTAGGCACTAAAGATACCAGAACACAAAGGGATTGGGTGATGGGGGTATGGTTAAGAGTTTTAGATAGAGTTTGGTTATACTAAAAGTAGCCTCCAACGGGGGCCATCTGGGTCTCGCTGGGAACTTGAGTGCAATTACACCATGAAGAGTTTGGAGTAGAGTAGCAAAAAGGAATCTCTGTCTCACTCTGTCGCTCTTCATCTGTCTCTCCCCATCTCTGTCTGTCTCTCTCCATCTCTGTCTCTGTCCATCTCTGTATCTCTTCATCTATCTCTCTCCATCTCTGTCTTACTCTGTCTCTCTTCATTTCTGTCTCTCCTCATCTCTGTCTCTGTCTCTCTCCACCTGTGTCTCTCTCTCTCTGTCTCTCTCCATCTCTATCTTTCTCCATCTCTATCTCTTCATCTCTGTCTCTGTCTCCCCACCTCCCGCTCACCAAGGCTGCTCCCCTCACCAACTCCCCTACCTCCTGGCTTCTCTCTATCTCTGACTCAACAGGGATTGAGTGCAGCAGGGGCCCTTGGGGAGGTCTGGGCTTTCTACTGCCTTCTGGTTACAGCCTCTCCTTCCCCGTATCTGTCCTTCGTCCTGGCCTAATGAGTCCACATTTTATTTAGGGAGAAGGCAGAGTGACAAACCTGGAGGGGGGGCACAATCTGCAGTGCCCTGCATGACTGAGTGTATCTGGTTGTCTGTAGACCAGGTTTCAGTTATAGAGAATCTGCATACAAAGTTAGGATTAGTAGGGGTAACTAGGGGGATTAGAGTGAACCATAATAATGGTGGCAAGCATGTGGAGAGTAAGTTCAACATTGCTGAAATTACAAAGGGCACCCTGCCAAGCTAGGTCTTTTATGAGAGTAAAAAGTCAGGAAATCCACTGGTTGGGGGATGGGTCGGGCAGGAGGGTGTCTATGGGGTCTATAAGGGAAAAATCAGTTAAGATGAAGACTAGTGAGGAAGCAGGAAAGTTTGAGGAGGGTGTTGATCCTTGAGTAGAAGCTGGTCACCTGGAGAAAGGGAAGGGGAATCGATGTTTTGAGTTAGGTTAAGATGTCTCGTCCCAAGAGGGGGGTGGGACAAGAGGGCATGATGAGGAAAGAGTGGGCAAAGCATGCATAGTCCAGGCAGTAATTTAACATTGGGGTCTGGCGAGGGTTAGACAGTTTACTGTCTACCCCAACTACTGAGTTAGTGGATGGCTGGCTAGGACCTCCGTAGGTTGGCAAAACAGAATATAATTGTAAAACAGAATAGGTAGCCTCCGTATTGACGAGAAAAGAAATTGGCTTACCCGCTACCTGTAGAGTTACCCTGGGGTCAGCGAGGGTGACCGGGGTCTCCAAGTGTGGGCACCGTCAGTCGTCGTCCAGGTGTAGGAGCTGGAAGGAGCCTTCCGACCCTTGAGGAGAGGCACCACGTTGAGCTGCAATGCCTGCCCTGCTGGCGGGGCAATCAGACTTCCAGTGTCCTTCCTGTTGGCAGGTTGGGCATGGCGTGGTAGGCAGGTGAGGATTTGGACACCTTTTTGCCCAATGCCCAGTTGTGCCACACTTAAAGCATGGACCAGACGGAGTGGCCGGCTTGGCCTGGGGACACTGGTTTGCCCAGTGTCCTGGGTCTCCGCATTTATAGCAGGAGTCCTTAAGAGACTTATATCCGGTTTTCCCTGCCGGCAAAGTGGGCAACACGGGTTGGAGGGCAGCCACTAAAGCTTGTGCCTGAAGGGCGGCCTTCTATTCTACTCTGGCTTGTCGAAGAGCCTCAGCTGTTTCCTCTCTAGAGTTAAAAACTTCGAAAGCTAGCGTGACTAAGTCCTGAATGGGGGTTTGAGGTCCATCCTCTACCTTTCTTAATTTTTTTTTTTCGGATGTCAGGGGCCAACTGGGAAATAAAATAACTGGCAAGGACAGTGGCTCCTGCCGGAGGGGTAGGATCCAGTCGGGTAAATTGGAGAAGTGCCTCCATAAGGCGATTTAAAAAGGAGACAGGATTTTCCTCTGAGTATTGAATAACCTCCTGTAACTTATTAAAATTTACTATTTTGTTAGAGGCTGCCTGCATGCCAGCTAAGAGGCATTGTATCATAAGGTCTCTTCTGCGACGCCCGGGTTGTTGAGGTTGGTAGTCCCATTCAGGATCTGTAGATGGGACAGCTTGTTTGCCTACTGGGCTGGCCAGGTCAGTTAAGTGTAACTGGTCTGCATGCTGCCTGGCGGCTGCAAGAATGCACTCTCTTTCCTCTGGGTTAAGAGTGGAAGTAAGAATGACATGTAAGTCATGCCAGGTAAGGTCATATGCCTGGCCTAGGTATCAAAACTCTGGAATATTGGGTGGGGTTGGCTGAGAAGTCACCGAGTCATTCTTCAATTTTGGAAAGGTCAGCCAGGGAAAAGGAGACATGGACTCTAACCACGCCCTCAGCTCCAGCAACTTCTCGGAGGGGGGCCAACAAACTAGCAGGGGAGGTTGGAACAGACTGACCAGTCAGGTAGGTTGAGACTGGTTGACCGGTAGAGGGGGGTGAGGCAGGCTGACTGGTAGAGGGGGTTGGGGCAGGCTGACTGGTAGAGGGCTGACTAGTGGGGGCCGCTCTCGTGGTCTTGGAGCGAGTGTGGGCGGAAATGGGAGGTAAGAGGAGTGGCTGAGGGAGGGGCAGTAGGAGGAGCATAGGGAGAGGGGTTGGTAGGTCTGGAGGGAGGTGCCCTGCCGTCAGCCCCATCTGAGATGGAAGTAGAATCTTCCTCCGCTTGTGGTGTAGGGGCTGAGGGCTGGGTTTTAGCTAACAAGACCTGGGCCATTGAACACTGGGCGCACAGGTCTGGGCGAGAGCGCAAGTCCTAAAAGCCTTGGACATAGATAATCTCTGACCACTTTCCAAGCCTTTGGCAGAAATTAGACAGATCTAATAGAATGTTATAGTCAAGTGTGCCGTCTGGTGGCCATTGAGATTGGTTGTCTAATTTATACTGTGGCCATGCCACAGTGGAGAGGAAAATTAGCCGAAGGCTTCCAAGTTTTGGAGGAGACACCCTAAGGGGGTGTTCCTAGGGATTTTCTATTGTGAGGTTCCCATTGTTTAACCACCAGAAATGGAAACCGACCTCACGCAGTGGCAAAGCATCCTTTGCCGCTGCTAGAGACCGGGGGCTCCTGGAGCCACTAACGGAGAATTGAGGAACTTCAAGGTGGACGTCTCCGGGTTGAAGACCTCACTGCACCACAGGGTGGCTATGTCCTTGGGCGTACATACAACTCTAGGCCAAGGACACAGAAACGGACGGAGATGGTTAACAAAGGGGAGTACTCACCGAAGAAGAAATTCTCAGAGTGGCACCAGTGGAAAGCTGGAACACTTGTTCGGTGTTGGTGGCTGGTTGGGTTGGGAGCCGGTTCGCTGGGGAGGAGGTTCCTCAGACCCCTAGGGGATGTTGAGGAAGGGTCTCCTCCCGGGTCTGGTTTCGGCACCAACTGTTTTGTTTCTCTATTACTACTATTAATAGACGCAAAGACTAAATATCAATAAAGGCCAAAACAAGCGAAGAAAGTGGCAGCCCTTTTATTTGCAAATACGCACGCACTCTCGGGCGAGGTTCACTGGTCCGCGAGAAAGGGCCAGGGAAGTCGCGCCAGCGCTCTCGGGTGAGGTTCTCCGGTCCACGAATGCGGGGGCTGAGGAAGTCACGCCAGCTCCTGCCAGTGGCAGACTTTTATGCATTGGTACTGGAAGGGGGAGGGCAGTGGGCGGGATAAGGGCGTGATAGGGGCGTCTCTGTAGGCGTGGCCGGGTAAGTTTCGATCTCTTCGGATTGACGTCACCTGGCACATGCTCGGTTGTCCTGCACTTTCCCGGGCACGGGAAAGTTGGTGATGAAGAACCCGGAAGCAATCGGGACTGTGCCACCTTGTTCACCTTCCTCCATTTTGTCACTTCTCCCTCACCCAAACACTTTCTTTACTATTCCTTTACATCCTTCATCCCAGCCTCTCTTTGCTTTCACTTGGACTGACCCTGATACCCACCAGGCTCAGCAAATTACCCAGGCTGTACTGCCACAAGGCCTCACGGACAGCCCCCATTACTTCAGTCAAGCTCAAATTTCTTCCTCATCTGTTACCTATCTCAGCATAATTCTCATGAAAACTCACATGCTCTCCCTCCTGATTGTGTCTGGCTAATCTCCCAAACCCCAATCCCTTCTACAAAACAACAACTCCTTTCCTTCCTAGGCATGGCTAGGTACTTCCGCCTTTGGATACCTACTTTTACCATCCTAACTAAACCATTATATAAACTCACAAAAGTAAGCCTAGCTGACCTCACAGATCCTAAATCCTTTCACCACTCCTTTCTGTCCCTTAAAAACAGCCCTAGAAGCTGCCCCTACACTAGCTCTCCCTAACTCATCCCAACAGTTTTCATTACACACAGCCAAAGTGCAGGGCTGTGCAGTCGGAGTTCTTATACAAGAGCCAGGACCATGCCCTGTAGCCTTTCTGTCCAAACAACTTGACCTTACTGTTTTAGCCTAGCCCTCATGTCTGCGTGTGGTGGCTGCTGCTGCCTTAATACTTTTAGAGGCCCTCAAAATCACAAACTATGCTCAACTCACTCTCTACAGCTCTCATAACTTCCAAAATCTATTTTCTTCCTCATACCTGACACATATACTTTCTGCTCCCCAGCTCCTTCAGTTATTCTCTTTGTGGAGTCTCCCACAATTACCATTGTTCCTGGCCTGGACTTCAATCCAGCCTCCCACATTGTTCCTGATACCACACCTGACCCCCATGACTATATCTCTATGATACACCTGACATTCACCCCATTTCCCCATATTTCCTACTTTCCTGTTCCTCACCCTGATCACACTTGGTTTATTGATGGCAGTTCCACCAGGCTTAATAGCCACACACCAGCAAAGGCAGGCTATGCTATAGTATTTTCCACATCAATCATTGAAGTTACTGCTCTGCCCCCCTCCACTACCTCTCAGCAAGCCAAACTCATCGGCTTAATTCAGGCCCCCATTCTTGTAAAAGGACTACGTGTCAATATTTATACTGACCCCATATCCTGCACCACCATGCTGTTTTATGGGCTGAAAGGTTTCCTCACTATGCAAGGGTCCTCTGTCATTAATTCCTCTTTAATCAAAACTCTTCTCCAGGCCACTTTACTTCCAAAGGAAGCTGGAGTAACACACTGCAAGGGCCATCAAAAGGCATCAGATCCCATCACTCAGGGAAGGCATCAGATCCCATAGCTCAGGGCAACACTTATGCTGATAAGGTAACTAAAAAAGCAGCTAGCATTCCAACTTCTATCCCTCACGGCAGTTTTTCTCCTTCTCATCTGGTCACTCCCACCTACTCCCCCACTGAAACGTCCGCCTATCAATCTCTTCCCACACAAGGCAAATGGTTCTTGGACCAAGGAAAATATCTCCTTCCAGCCTCACAGGCCCATTCTATTCTATCGTCATTTCATAACCTCTTCCATGTAGGTTACAAGCCGTTAGCCTGCCTCTTAGAGCCTCTCATTTCTTTTCCATCATGGAAATCTATCCTCAAGGAAATCACTTCTCAGTGTTCCATCTGCTATTCTACTACTCCTTAGGGATTATTCAGGCCCCCTCCCTTCCTTACACATCAAGCTCAGGGATTTGCCCCTGCCCAGGACTGGCAAATTGACTTTACTCACATGTCTCGAGTCAGGAAACTAAAATACCTTTTGGTCTGGGTAGACACTTTCACTGGATGGGTAGAGGCCATCTGAGAAGGGTGGTCTGAAAAGGCCACCACAGTCATTTCTTCCCTTTTTGTCAGACATAATTCCTTGGTTTAGCCTTCCCACCTCTATACAGTCCAATAACGGACCAGCTTTTATTAGTCAAATCACCCAAGCAGTTCCTCAGGCTCTTGGTATTTAGTGGCTCCTGTTTTTACCTTAAATCACCACCTTTAAGTCTCTCTTAAAGTGGGTAGAAGATCTTCAGTGCAAGGTACCCTCCAATACTTTCACCCTGATGAAGTTCTATTCTTTACTTTTATACTTACTCTTATTCTCATTCCTGTTCTTATGCCACCCTCTACCTCTCCCCAGCCATCTCCACCACACTATCAGTCTCAGTCACTCTCTCCTAGCCGTTTCTAATCCTTCTTTAACAAACAATTGCTAGCTTTCCATTTCTCTTTCCTCCAAAATCATCAAGGCCTCAACTTACTGCTAAAAAAAGAGGACTCTGTATGTTTTTAAATACAGAGTGTTGTTTTTACCTAAATCATTCTGACCTGTTATAAGACAACATAAAAAAACTCAAGGATAGAGCCCAAAAAAAGCTCCAACCAAGCAAACAATAACGTTGAACCCCCTTGGACACTCTAATTGGATGTCCTGGGTACTCCCAATTCTTAGTCCTTTAATACCTTTTTTTTTTTTTCCTTCTCTTATTCGGATCTTGTGTCTTTCGTTTAGTTTCTCAATTCATACTGAGAGGTGACAACATGCTAGCAGCCCTCGCTTTCGGTGCCTCCTTGGCCTCAGCGTCCACTCTGCCAGTGTTTGGGGAGTCCTTCAGCCTGCCACAGCACTCTGGGAGCCCCTCTCTGGGCTGGTCGAGGCCAGAGCCAGCTCCCTCTGGAACTGGGGCTGTGCACAGCGCTCACGGGCCAGCACAAGTTCCGGGTGGGTGTGGGCTCCGTGGGCCCTGCACTTGGAGCACTGGCTGGTGCCACTGGCCCCGGGCAGTGAGGGGCTTAGCACCTGGGCCAGCAGCTGCAGAGAGTGTACTAGGTCCCCCAGCAGTGCCGGCCTGCTGGCACTGTGCTCGAATTCTCACCAGGCCTCAGCTGCCTCCCTGCAGGGCAGGGTTCAGGACCTGCAGCCCACCATGCCCGAGCCTTCCCACCTCTGCTGTGGGCTCCCGCGCAGCCAGAGCCTCCCCGATTGGCATGCCCCTGCTCCATGGCACCCAGTCCCATCCACCACCCAAAGGCTGAGGAGTGCAGGCACGGCAAGGGACTGGTGGGCAGCTCCGCCAGTGGACCTGGCCTGGGATCCACTAGGTGATGCCAGCTGGGCTCCTGAGTCCAGTGGGGACTTGGAGAACCTTTATGTCTAGCTAAGTGATGGTAAACGCACCAATCAGCACTCTGTATCTAACTTAGGGTTTGTAAATACACGAATCAGTACTCTGTGTCTAGCTCAAGGTTTGTAAATACACTAATGGGTACTCTGTATCTAGCTAACCTAGTGGGGACTTGGAGAACTTTTCTGTCTAGCACTCTGTGTCTAGCTAAAGGATTGCAAACACACCAGTCAGCACTCTGTCCAAAGGGACCAATCAGCTCTCTGTAAAATGGACCAATCAGCTCTCTGTAAAATAGACCAATCAGCCCTCTGTAAAATGGACCAATCAGTAGGATGCGGGTGGGGTCAGATAAGGGAATAAAAGCAGGCTCCTTGAGCCAACCAGCTGTCCTCTTCCACACTGTGGAAGCTTTGTTCTTTTTTTGCTCTTTGCAATAAATCTGGCTG